ATGTGCTGGAGCTTGTGAAGAGCACACATGAGCCTGGAATAGATGCAGATGCCAGCACTCACTTGAGCTGGGTGGGACCCTAGAAGGCATGAGTTAGGGAGAGATACAATCCAACTGTGTTAACCCAGTTCTGGCTTCAGTGAGGGACTTAGGTGGGAGAACAGTGAATCTGGGTGAATCCAGTCCAGACTGCCTGTCAGAGAGGCTGCAGTGGAGGCATGGGAAAGCCATGTTCAAGGCCAGGCTAGAGCCTCTGTGTATAGCTGAGTGCTTGGCCAGGTAAGGGAGGGGTCAAAGAGGGCTCTAAGGGGCTTTCCCGGGACAGCTGGAGAGACTGGTTGTGTTTGCAGGTGGAAGATGGAGTGGGGCTGCTCTCAGGTTAAGACATGTCAAGTGTGCTGATCAGGAAGGAGACAAGAGGGAAAGGCTGGAGGCCAGGAGACTGTGTGAAGCCGCACATACTGTGGACAGTAGCTAGGACTCATTCACCCAGCACATGTAGTGGGCCTGTGTGTTCTGCACCAGAGATTCAGCCATAGAAGGATCAAAAATCCATCTGTCCTGAACACGTTGGGACTTTTTTCTTAGTCGCTAATCTCTAGGCAGCATACAAAAACAACCATTTGAGGAGGATTTACATCACACTCAGTGTTACTGGTAATTTAGAGACTCAGTATATGGGAGGATGTGTTCTATGCAAATACAATTAAATTTCATACGGGGGGGGCGTGTGTGTTCCTGTGGATTTAATATCTGAGGGGGTCTTGATAGCCCCCCTCCCATCATATCAAAGGAACAACTGTATTCTGAGTCTGGCTATCTTTATTTGAAGTGCAGAAGACACAGCATGAAACGGGGACAAAGTTTTGGCCCTGGCGAACATGCAGGAACCATGGCCTAGGGAGGCCAGGAGATAAGGAAGGAGCCAGGAGAGGAGACACTGAGGCCTGCTGTCCCCTTTATCATCCTAAGAGGTGGAGGGAGCCAGGAGGCCAGCAGGAACCATCATCCCACCCTCCCTCCAGCTACTTCAGAGCCAAGTCATTCCTGGAAGGCGGTACCCTGAAACAGTGGGTATGAGAGGAGGCCTGGGACTCAGTATGAGGAAGGCATAGGTTCCCATCAGTTCTGAACTGTGTCCAATTGCCTGGGATCCATTATCGATTCTTGTGACCTACTGTCTGCCCTTGGAGGAACACTGAAATTGTACTGTCAGAGCTAGCTCAGCTAAAATGAATAGCAGGAGACGAGTTAATGTTTCCAACATGCTTTAAGACATTGTGCAGGGCAGGGAGGAACTGGGCAAGGGGCCCAGGGAACAGGCAAGAGACATCTGCCCCAGTGCCTGGGAGCCCTTCAATCACTAGGTCAAAGAGCTGTCTGCTCCCTGGAACTTCCCAAGGGGTGGAAGGATCCCCTGAGCCAGGCCTCCAGAGACCCACACATCTGCATCTTCCTACTGAAGTCTGTAGCAGGGCCTGGGACAAACCTCCCTATAGTCCCGTTTTCCACACCTACAGATTAGGGATCTTGTGTGCTCTGCCAGCATTGTTTAGAAGATTACGTAGAACAGCACAGAGCACAGCTTTACTTGTTAAGCTTCTAGAATGTGCTGGCCTCAACTCAAGTGTGCGTGATAAGAAACTGCAATAGTGCATTCAACACTATTATCAGGGTTACCCATACAGACACTCCCTCCCTCCGCCACTAGTCTTTGAAAATGGGCTTCTGCATTTTCTGGGACCACAGGTCAAATGAATAAAAGATGGGATCTTAGGGACAGACATGGTGGTGCATGCCGTTAATAACAGCAGAGGCAGGCAGATCTGAGTCCGAGGCCAGTCTGGTCTACATGGTGAGTTCCAGGCTTGGAAACCTATGACTGGAGGGGGTGGATATGCCAAGGTCACTGTGTCTTTTGTCACACCTGGGGTTTGGAAAACGTGGCTCCACAGTCCTGCCCAACCTCACTAGAATCAAACATACTGATGATGCAGGTCCTGGCTCCCACATCCCAAGACTGGACCTGGTGGGACCACAATGGCTGTTCAGTGATACCTATTCCTGAACACTGTGGGTTAGTCTCTCCTGGACTTGTTTATGAGAGAGATCTACATATTCCTACACAGTCTGCCACTGCCCCAGCTTCCTCCACCCCCATGCCAGTATTTCTACTGGGTGTGCCTCATTTTGGGAAGCAGGGCATTTGGATTTTAACCTCCGTGCTTATTTTTACCAGGTCTTCAACGCTGATGGAACAAGATGTGTTACTGTAGGAATAGATTTTTGGCACACCCAAGGACTGATCCATCCCTTTCATAGAGAGAAATGTCATAGAAAGAGCAGGGCCTTTTGAACAGGAAGACGTGGGTTCCAATTGAGCTTTATCATCTTACTAGAAGGTTAATCTTGGACCAGTCACTCAGGACTTTAAACTGTGGTTTCTCCATTTGTGTCAAATGGAGTGGTCAGGAGAAGGAATGAGATCCTGGCATGTTACATGTAAGGGGCCTGACCAGGGCCGGAATCGTGTGTATATTGTTCATCCAGATTCTGTGACTTCCTTTTCAAACCTCACAGCTGTTGTCATCTTAATCCCTTTACTGTGTTATTTTCCATAAACACTGCTGTAAGACATGAAAAGCATCCGTCCTTAAGGCACTGGAGAAAGTTTGTTGGGGGGGGGGCAATCAATGATGTAATTATAATGCCTCAGGAGGTGCCTGCACTGAGCTGTCTGCTTCACACACCTTATTCTCATGTAGAGCCTCTCCATTGCCATGTGAGTTAATCACTATTGCAGGTGGGATATTCCTCGTTCATTCAAAATCTTGGCAGAAAGTGTTTCCCATTCAAATTTGAGAATGGCTGCACATATAAAATGATAAATCTTGGAGATGGGACCCAAATCTAAACATGGAATTCATTTGTTTGACATATACATTAAACACGTGGGTTAAAGGGAAGTTTAGACACTATCATTTAACAATTTCATTTTTAAGGTGGGATTTTCATACCAACATTTGGGGTTTCGGGTGCTCAACTTACAAGCTGATATATCCTCTCGATTTAACAGATGATGACATTGAGGTAAGCAGACACCTAACAGCAGCTGTAGGCATTCAAGTCAGGAATTGCCTTTTGACCACCATTCTAGGAGGTGCTTTACTGGTGAGCCACCTCCTCTATCCTCTATTATTATTTTCAAACAAATGCTTCCTGTTACATCCCGCACTTACTATATTACTATCCCATTGCCTCTGCAGCATTAGAATTCAGCTGGAAAAATGAGCACTGGCTTTCAGTCTATCCTAAAAAGAACAGTAGAGGGATAGTAGATGAATAAACCCAGCATTTTACATCAAAGTCTGTTTAATCTGGCATTTCTAGAGCTGAGTCACAAATTACAGGCAGCAGGACAAAAGTTGTGTAGTTCTAGGGGACAGCTGTAAGCAAGATGAGAGGCCACAACTTGCAATGGCAAGCAGGGCTATTCCTAGATGGAGATCTGAGGCGGACTGCCACAGAAGCTTAAATTACACTCTCCCAGGGCCGTCTGAGCTCATGGCTCTGTAAGCTGGGACAGCATAGTTTCCTCACTCCTCTGAGTGAGCCTCCCAGGCCATTGCTACTGTAAGGGGAAGACTGAGGCGCTGGACCCCGCCCACTGAGTTCCAAATGGAAGCAGATGAAACAGTTTCTTGTTACTTTGCTTATCTCACAGAAGGAAACTGAGGCCCAAGGGAGTGAAACAGTTTGTCAAGGTCCCAAACTGGGATCATCCATTACCCAAAATGCCCCTGATGTCAAGTGTTCTCAGGGATTCAGTGATGGCTGAGACCCCTGATGGCTCTGTTCCACAGAGACAGAATGCAAGCCACACACACACTGGAAACTGTTGTAACAGCCACAGTAAAAAGTCAAATGAAACAGGCATTGGTATGAATCACTTACTTAACTCCACGTATCCAAAATATTATCCTTTATCATGATTAAACAAAATTTAACAAACATTGACCTATTTTACCTCTTTGGGTATGGCATTTTGAGATCAGTGTGTATACCAATGAATAGCTCATTGGGCTACATTTTAGAGTCCCTCGTGATGGGAGGCCATTTTGGGCAGCACCGATTCAGACGGACAGTCTTTCCATCTATTGATGAATGAGAACCACATGGGCAGTCTATTCAAAATACAGATTTCCAGGCTTTGCCCAGAGTCCGACACTCACTGACTCCAGGGTAAGGCTCTCTAACCACCATTCCAGAGCCTTCTGAGGCAGCCATTTTGGATCTAGCAATCTCAGAAAATGCAGTCTAGTTACTCATTGTGTTTAATAGAAATTAATGGCTAGGCAGCAAGGATGCATCCCCAATTCACACCCTGGAGGAAAACCTGCTCTTTGTTAGCGAAGTCTGAGTTAAAGCAAGTATTTGATCACGTTCAGTTGAATTATTTTCAGGTACAAAGATTAAGAGTAAACACAGACGTCTTTCTGAGCAGACAGCTCTTCCTTTCGAGAGAAGATAAGACTTCCTGATTAAATGCAAGGAATATTCATCCACACACACAGTGTTCAACTTTCAAAAGTCCAGTTTATTTTCTTAGAAAAAAAAAACTTTCAATCAAGCTTGAAATACCAATTACACTCAACTGACTCAGTAGGAACTCTGCCTTTGTTAAACAGTCTAAGTGTAGAAGATACTCTCATAAGAGCTTTAATTAAACACCCTCTGCATGCCAGACACAGAGGTGAGAACTGGGGAAGCATGTGTCCCACTGCTGCTAAGGAAAAGCAGGGGCTACAAGGCCAGAATCTCCCAGAGCCTAGAGGCTCACAGACATTCCATCCATAGCCTAGCCAAGGAGTCACATGAAATTAACCATCAAAATCCATCCATTATGTGAAGAGGTACAGGGAGAAAGGAGTTCTTATCCACCATTGTGTCTGTCCTGAGACACACACTGGCGTAAGGACCTTTGGCAGGACTGGAAGCATGGCTGGCTTTGCAGCACTCGCAATAGATTTGGAATGATATAGAGAAGATTAGCTTGTTCCCTGTGCAAGGATGACATGCAAATTCATGAAGTAGTCCATAGTTAAAAAGAAATATCTGAAGCAAATACAGAAAAATATGTTTTATTTGTTAGTTGAGGATGATAGAAGTGCTTACTAGACCATTTCTTGACTCTATGAACAATGTCCAGATATTTTCTATTGGGAAAAATAAAAAGATTAGATGGGGCAGGTGAGAGCCTAATGGAAGGCTTGGAAAGCAATTCCCAAGCCTACCACTCTACCTCTGTCCAAGAGAGGAGCATGCGGACAGTTCTCTAACATCCCTAGAGGCTCCCCTGGGTTTCAGTGTGGCACAGTATCACTCATGAGGACCACGCAACTTTTCTGCAAAGGCAAGAGAAATATTCTTTCCTTGTCAAGGCCTGAACCCATGCCAAAGCTGGGGAGGGTGTGTCCAGTTATTTAACATAAGCTTCTCTTTAGAAACACTTCCAAGGATGACATTCATCTGGTTGGCTCCTACAAAATTACCAGGTGCACAACTTCATGCAAAGTGTCCTGCCAGGCTTACATTCACATCAGGACACAGCAGACACACTAGGGAGGCTGCAATAGGTGTGTGTGTGTGGGGGGGGTTGCTCTTGGTAACACATTACTTCCTCCATGTATGGAAAAGAACTCTGTGGTCATGGAGAATAGGCCATGCATGATGGATGGAACCATGTGAAAGAGAGGCAATAGCTTCTTGGTGACATCAGCCTGGAAGAGTCCCCTCATACCCAGGAACCATGTCCTCGTCACTTGTCACTTAGGTGCTTCTGGGGCTGTGCACAGAGTAGGGTTGTAGTAAATGCTTATTCAGTAACTAAGCCATGAGGATGGCACCCTCTCTCTCTCCTTCTCTCAAGTTGTTCTCAAGATAACTTCCCAACACATGTGTAAAATGGGAATCTGTGTGTGTATGAGTTTTGTCTCTTACTGGGACACTGTCATCTGATGGCTGAGGATTTTGAACTGGAACCAAATTTCACACAACTTTTTAGAATAGACACGAAACTGCTCTCTGCCCTGGGACTTCCACCATGTAAGGCCTTAAGAGAAGCCTGCTGCACAACTAATAGCTTGCACACTCATGTTTACAAAATGGCAATTTTTGTAACTGAATCCCATGACAAACCAGTTGGATAGTTGGACAGGCAGCAACAAGTCCATTTTACAGAACAGAAAGCTGAGGTCCAGAAAAGTGCTGATAACTTATTCAAGGCCACACCTGCAACTGGCTAGTGGTGCCAGGACCTGAGGCTGTACATCTAGAATTACCTGGTCCAGTTCCTAGGAGCTGCCAGTTCCTAGGAGCTGACTCAACGCTGCCTTCCAGCCCCTTCTCACCAGTGGAGGGTCTGACGATAACCCTCTCTGCTGGCCAGAAGCTACTGACTTCTATGGCTCAGAAACCCAGGATTCAACTCAGGCCTGGAAACTCCTCCTTTCACATCAAGCCCAGGATGTAGCTCCAGCTGAGCACAAAGTAAGGGTGGAATGTTCTGAGGCAAAGAAAAGACTGGAAACTCCAAGAGGCTCCAAGAGCCCCCCCCTGCCCGCATTGAGAAGGGGTCCATAAACCACTGGGCTTTTACTCCCTGAACTGAAAGAACTTCAGTCCTGGAAGGTACCCATGAAGCTCACACTCTGTCACAGTTGCATGCCACTGTCCTGACCCATCAGTCTGTCCCCACATTATTTGTTAATTGATTGGCTCACTCTGTGGGCATGATCTCATGTAGGATTCTGCTAGGCCAATCAGCTGAGGGTTCTGTCACCTAACTCCCTCCCTCCAACAGTGTCACACTGGGAGGGGGTGCAAGGGTTTGACAGATGTGGGGAGGGTGTGAGGAGGTAGCAGCCAGGAAACAGGTTCTTGCTGGTCTGTAGAACAGTCCCCAAAGCAGGCAGGATGTGGAGAGCTTTGCCAGGTCCCACGGCAGGTCAGTGGTTAAGGTGGTTTCTCCTGGTCTTCTGAGCTAAATATGTCCACGACACTGAAATGCCTCCTCCCCCAATGTCTCTATAATCCATTGTAAAGCTTCCTGGTGGAACTTTCTGATGGCTAGGCACCAGTTAGAGGTCATTTCAGTCACAACCCATAGGCCAAATCCTATTAGTTGCCTATTTATTATTATTATTGTCATCATTATTATTTGGATGTGTGCATGTACATTATGTGTTGGCCGTGCACGTGTGTGTACTTGCATGTTACCTCTCATGGCCTTGGACATGGGTTCTGGGGATCAAACTGAGGTCCTGGTATGGTAAACACTTAACTGATAGAGATATCTGCCCAGCCATATTCAGTTTTAAATGGTCCTAGAGATAAGATTTTCCTGTTTAAGTGATTTGTCTTAATTATATAGTATCGATGGTGGTTGTGTGGGAGTGTGCGGGTGCCACAGCATTTGCAAAGGGGTCAGAGGACAGCTTTCAGGAGGTGGGTCAAGATCAGCCTGGCCTGCCTCAAAACAAATGGCCGTTTATCTTACAGACGCGTGACATAACTCATTCAACTAAGTCCTATTTTTGATTTACTGTGTAGTTTTTAGATAGTGTCTTATTAGAAATCACACAGCCCCTGTCTGAACACCCAAGGGCTTTTCAAGGTTTTCTTTTTGCATGAATCTGAAGGTTATTTTGAGACTATCTTAAAGATCTGTGTGTGTGTGTGTGTGTGTGTATGCATGGTTACACTGGGATGTGCGGTTCTGAGGCTGTATCTGCTTTACTTTGTATTAGCTTAGGGGTAGTGGTGAGTTACTTTGGTGTTTCCATCAATCACATGGGTAGAACAGGGGCTGCTATGGAGGGCTGTCAGGACTAAATCCATCAATACACTTGCAAACATTGTGGCCACTGAATGCAGTGCTAGAAACCTGTCAGCTCCTAGTCTGTAACAGCAAGCTGTTCCTTCAGAGCCCATCACCATGGCCAGGCTTCTGGATGCTGGTATATGGGAGGACAGGGCCAGAGGTCTCATCAAGCTCCCTTTGCCAAACAGACTGGGTGCTGGAATAACTGCAACTCTCTGTTTTAGTGTTTTTGTTTTTGTTTTTGTTTTTTTTAAGTTATAAGAGGCCCTTGACACCACGCAGGGAGGTGATAAGCAGAAAACATGACTACACTGTTGCCAAATTCAAGCATAAACGCTCACACTCCCACCAGCAACTAACAGCAGGAAATGCAGAGTGGCAGCCCCACCTTCCAATGTCAAGCACTCTGGAAGGCAGATCATGGCCTACATATGTATGGAAGAATGCTGGGGCTGCTTCTCAGGAAATACCGTTGGCATTGCTAACACCTGAAGGAAACACATTGGGAACTAGTTCTTTGGAGCTCGCTGGAAAATGACAGAAAGGGTCAAGAACTGTATCGATCTTGAGCCCCATCTCAGTTTGTCACGGTCATGTCTAAAGATCATCTGGGATCCTAGACGGTTTATTTAGTGTCTCTGATGTGCAAAACGCTTTCAAGAGGTCAGTCAATGATTGCACTTGGTCACCGAAGAGAGACGACAGGATAGACAACACTTAATGTTTAAGAAATGGCTCTGAAACTCAAGTTGGTGTCTGGCATGTGCCCTGTTGGTCCTTGAGTCCTAGGCCTTACCACAACTACTCTTAGTCCCCCAGCCAGAAAGGCTGCTGCACTAGCTGTAAGTTTGGGGGCAACTAGATAGGAGAGGGGGTGGGGCATGGGAATAAGGACTCACCCAATTTTCATACCAGCCTTTGCAGAGAGAAAAAACATGATTCAATGTGTAAAATATCTAAGCAAAATGATGACATTCTATTGCCTTATTCTTTTTGGTTTTGGTGGCAGATAAGTGCATAAAATTTATTCAATACTGAAAGTGTAAAATTTAACTTGAAGCCCTAAACATTCCACTCCAAATGCCTATTCTAACTGTATAGAAGTTCATGGAATTGGAATTTGGGTCTGGTTAATTTTGATGTGCAATTTTTTACATGTTCTTTTTTTAAAAAACAAACAAAACTCCAACAAAATAACACTAATAAAACCCCAAAAGCTCCACTTAGAAGAGTTTTTCTTTTGAAACCACAGTATTCACAGTTGCAAGCCTTGACCGGAAGTCTTAAAGAGTCCTACAGGAAGTGACACATCGTAACTGAGCTTGTGTGGGTCCAGCTCTAGAAAGAAGTTTCCCTGTTTTTATGGCAGCCATCACGAATCACTTACTCAGTCTTTGGTGCCTTCCGTCCCTGAGGGAATAGATGACTATCTACCACAATACAACTGTCCTGAGTCTGGCTTCTGGACCATGGCCAGGGAGATCTGACTTTTAGAAAAAGTCATGTCAGTCCCATGAATCATGGTGTGGAAATGTTGGCTTTTATTAGAATTTGGTAAGTTCCTGCTTTGAGAAGTTCCCATATGACACAAGGGGGAATTTCTGAAATAACTTGTCTCAGTGATTGCCCAAGCAGAGGGCATAGGACCAGCCCCAAGAGAAGTCCAGACACAACCTGGAGTAGAGAACCCTTCACTAACTCTGCCACTACAGCCCTACCTGATAGCATTCACAAGTGATTCAGATTCCTGGGGCCTCCCGTGTATTGTACCACACCATCCTTGTAGTGGGTTTGAAAGCCATGTTTACCCACAAGGTGGGGATGCAGCTGTGCTAGGCTGAGAGCCACACCCGAGCCAAACAGCTAATTAGTCTTTAAATCCCCGGTCACCAACTCTAATATTATGCCTAATGATTAATGTTTTAAAAAGTATAGAAAGGTGTTTGAAATTTATCATCAGGTAATAAATCACAGCTTAATTTTTTTCTCAATAAAAGGGAGCTAAGTAACACAAGGCAACCACATGTATTAAAAGTCATAAAATGAGTCTGAGTTTCTTATACCAAACAACCTAATTTGCTTATACATAAATATCAAGGGACAGAAAAGCAGGCTTTCAAGCCAAATTGAATGAAAAAGTATGTAGTCACATCACACCCTGGCCCTTGCATGAGGCTATATATTAAGATTATTTTAGGTCTTACACCTCATGTTTCTGGAGCA